CAGGCAGCCAGCAAAGGAAAAAACAAAAATAACAAGGAGCTCGAGGTATCGTCCAAGATCATCGTAGAGAGGGCATGGAGAACAAGAAAGAAAGAAAGAAGAAAAGCACAAAGAGAGGCCGGAGGCAATACTAAGAGCATACAGCATACGGCAGGGAAAAGGGAACACAGGGTGCGACAACATCATCAGTTGGGTACGTCGTTCGCCGCAAGCGCGGCCTTGGCCGCCCTACTCGCTCTACAGCTGTATGTAGCCTCCAGTCAGTTTGGTAAGCGCTGCGCTGCACAACAGGGGGTTTCCCTACGCAAAAATATGAAAAAAAAATGATGTCTCACTTTGCACTTCGAAGTACATTCAATTTTGGTGTGCTGATTTTCTTCTTCCTGTCCAATAAATATGTAACATCTCAAAATTTACACGCGTTTACGTGTTTGTTTTTACACATTGAAACGTCAGCTGTTAGCTGGGAGGGCTTTTGCATCGAATATGCAGACGCGCACTGACCGGCACCTACTGCTACCTTCGGTAGTACCAACACTACATACATACATAGTCTACAGCAGTAAACAGCTATACTGAATATAGTGACGACACAGCACGAAATAATAGTCTAGGTCAAGGAAGGTGACTTCAAAATTAGCTCCAAAAAGTAACGCAATCAATGACGTAGCTATTATACTGTCTCCTTTGTGTATGTCCTTTTTATTGCCTTCGGCCTCTCTCTGTGCTGTGTTTCTTTTTTTCATAACCTCCCTGCCTACTCTGTTGTGTTGGGTACCTTGATCTCGCTTTGCTGTTGCCTTTGTTATTGTACGTCTGGCTGTCTGCCCATCTGCCGCCTCTTTGTCCTGTTTGCTCTGTTACTCCCATGCCCTGGTGCGCAGTGCCTGGTGCTGGTACGTTACCCTTTGATTTTTTCTTTGGGCGGGTGTGGGAATTGTCCTCCTTTATTTTTTTTGTTTTCTTTCTTTTTATCGGTTTCCGAAGAGTTTCCGAAGACTCTTTTCTCGAACGGTCGATGCGATACCTGTTCTTTTCTTTCTATCATTTCGTTTTCTATTTCCGAGTGGTTTGTACCCTACTTTTGTTTTGTTTGCCCGCGGCGTTGTATGTGCCGGGTGTGTGTTGAGACCATGTGCTCCCCATCTTTGTGGACTTATGGAAAGAGCTAATAATGTGAGAATCAACAACAAGAAACTGTCCTAAAAAAAAATCCTCCGGGGGCGCCTCCGGGGGGGACCTCCGGCGGCCGGCTCATTCTCGGCGCAAACGCGCAGAACGCGTCTGCGCTACTTTTCCCGCCCGACACCAGGGTGCGAGAACAAAAAAGAACGAGAAAAAAAAAATGATCCCACCCGGTGCCATCACACACTAGTCTACATCACTGCTGTTGTACTGCTGGAATCAATACTGCTGTAGAACATACTAGTAGTATTAGATAGTAGCAACCTCGGAGGGTCAAGTTGAACCAGCAATGTGTTGAACTCGTGTGAAAGAGGGGAGGGGGGGCGAGAGAAATAGATGGAAGGCTTGGAACCGTCCTTGCTGCTCTGCGTGTTTGTCTCACCGCTGTCACAGCACGTGAAGCCCCTGGAGGGACTCCAAAATAACCTGGATCATCCCCTGGGGCACCGCCGCCGACCTTGTTGTAGATGATGCTTGGTATCCGAGCTTGCCGCATCTTGAATCTGGCAATCTACAATCCTCAGCAACCCCCCTGAAACGTGCCTAATGCTGACGATCGGAACAGCTGCCTCGCTATGCCTACGGTACTGAGTGTGGGTGCTCAGTTCTCTCTCCTCGGCGCGTGTGTGAGTGTGGTACCACAGCAGTAACGATATGTTCGTTGTACGTAACTGTAGCTCACTAGCCACAACAACTGGCTGCAGCAGGTGGTGCGTACTTTTCCAAGAGAACTCCTCGGGCTGAAAATATGCGCTGTGTTGTGCGGGCCGTAGTCAGAACCGTTGTGAAAAACACTTATGACTGATATCAACGTATCACGTGAGTCACCAGAACGCCTTCGTACCCAAGTTCGGTGAAACCTCCATCGGGTATGTACGTCTCCCGGTTCGGCCCTCCAGTGCAACCGGTCGATGCTGGTTACTGGTGTACCCGGAAGGGGTCGATCTTGTACCCAGAAATGGTCATCATGCATCCAGGACGAAAATAGCTAGCATGCATACGTGCACCACTAACTCTTTCATAAAACTCCATTCACCCCTTGGGTCTGGGCTATTCGCCAGCCGAACGGGTGGTTCGCAGGCCGCATGTTCCCGTTCGAAACATCTTTTTTTTTTCACAATAAACAAAAAAAAAATGCGGCGGGAGACAGCAGGGCAGAGGGAAAGAGAAGTGCAGCAAGAAGATACTGCTGTTTTTGTGTACATGCAACAGCAATCTCCACCCATGGGCCATCAGGGCAGCCCGCGCGAGCGTGGTGGGCACAGACAGGGTCATAGAAAGGTCGATGGGTGGTCGCAGTGCGGCCGGTAGGGCATGTCGGTCTTTTTGACCTTGAAATGATGAGTCACCAAGCTGCCTAAACCAATCTATATTTAGTATAACAAAATCGTCTATAATCATGTATGTAGATCTATACCAGGGATTTTTGTACTTCTGTACTTCTCTGTCGCCCCCCCTATGTGGGCCCTGCCGGGTCTGTGGCGCTCCCTTCACGCCCACAAAGCACAAAGCAACATAGCGCACAGCACACGAACTGAGCACCCAGANTTTTGACCTTGAAATGATGAGTCACCAAGCTGCCTAAACCAATCTATATTCAGTATGACAAAATCATCTATGAGAATCATCTATGTAGACCTATAGCAGGGATTTGTACTTCTGTACTCCTCTGTCCCCCCCCCCTATGTGGGCCCTGCCGGGTCTATAGCGCTCCCTTCACGCCCACAAAGCAACAAAGCGCACAGCACACGAACTGAGCACCCAGAAGCCCCCAAAGCTATGGACATGCCAACGCCCGACGTCGAGGGGTACAAGGCCGGGAACACGATGGCCTGCCATGAGCAGACGGTGTCGCTGATCGCGGCGAACACGCCGGCGGAAGAAGGCACCCAGCACCCTGGTGCGCGCGTTTGCGTTTGAGGTAGCCGCGAAGGTTGGCGCCGAGTGCCGCCATCGCGACACCGCCCCGGAGCCAATGCCGAGCATGGCCCTCGCTGCTGCGAAGAAGGCTGCGGCGGAGCATCCGGGTCTGTGTGGGGTTTACCACGCTCACATAATAGCAGCCGTGCGGACCGAGGACGTGACAAGTCGATCGGGCTCCACCGCTGCCAACAAGTTCCGCAACCAAGTGAGTATTGCCTGAGGCCGAGGGGCGGGTGCAGCTGTTGTTGTTTGGTGTTGTTGTTGGAGCAACAAGGCTTTGGTTATTGTTGTCTAAGGAGCACGGAGTCAAGAGAGAAAGAAACGAGCTGCTGGTCCCAGGAAGAGATAAAGCTGTATAGCCGCAGTAGTGTAATGCTACATTTTAGAGGTGGAACAAACTTCAACGTACGCCGACCCTGCTGCTGTCGTAGCATATGCATATAGGTACACCTTCCGTTCGCCCGACGCTACTGCTGTCGTATGCATATGCATAGTTACACCATCCCATCCTGCTGTTTGTTAGACCCGCTCTGCCCAAACTGCACACAGCAGTGATCGCTGACGGGCAAACTCCTCGCTTTGTCGAAGTTCGTTTCAACCTCAGCTCTCTCCGCCCATTTGAACGTATGTGTGCATGCATACAGCACAAAACTGTAGACTAGAGGTCTAATACTACTGCCGTGCATCATGTGTGTATTCGGAACAATGAATGCAATGCCACAGGCGTGCTACGACGGGGCCATGGCAATGAATGCGCGTGGGAAGGGAGTGCAGCTGAAGAGAGCAGAGTGCTTCACGCATGCCGGCCGGGCAGTGTGGCCTGGAAATGAGGAAATGGAGGCCTCTGTGGTGGAGGCAAGAACGTCGTGGATGAAGGCCGGCTGTTTTGTATGAGGACCTGCGGCCGAATGTATGTCCGTTTTCCGTGCTTTCATTTTGTCTTGGTTATTTTTTATGCCGCAGCACTGTCGTCGGGAGATGAGCGTTGTTGTAGTGATGAAATNACTGTTTTGTATGAGGACCTGCGGCCGAATGTATGTCCGTTGTCCGTGCTTTCATTTTGTCTTGATTATTTTTTATGCCGCAGCACTGTCGTCGGGAGATGCGCGTTGTTGTCGTGATGAAAGTATGCATGTATGCGGATGTGGACGTGGGCTTTCCAAGAGGGGTGCCGAGAAACAACCGCCCTGTCTTGATGTATGCTTTGATTTTTGAAAAAGAACACCGCGTGATGCGTGCGTGATCAGGATGTGAATGGTAGTCTACCTGATCGGCAGCGCATGAGGGTTGCAGCTGCACCGGTGGCTACACCCCGGTCTACATATACGGGCCCAAGATTGTCGGACGACGTCGTAGTCTTGATTCGTTATTTGGCTTTTTTTGTTGCTTTGTTAGAGAGCGCTTGCCTGCGAGAGCGTTGGACTCTTTTGTTTATTGTCATGCCCGGCAATGACACCAGCGATGCCTGGCGTATAGTCTTTCTCGAAGTGTGCACCCTTGTGGGGTAGTTGGCCTGTGACCATGGTAGACGTGCGCGTCACACGGGTACGGATATTAGATGGCTCTGACCAGAGGCTGCCGCTGTTTTTTCATGTGAAGAACAAGAATATGAACGACAGCAGCAACAAATTTCCTGGCGAAAAGCAACAACGCTTCCATGCGACAAGCACGGCCATGAGGCAAGCGCTCGCGACAACATGTGTCGATTGTGCCCAAACAACATATCAACAGGCATTACACGACACGTGCCTCTTCGCTCTTGCCACCATGATAGTGAACGGCACGTGACAGAGTGTCCGCGGTACCCATAAAAGCATGAGTGTATGCGTGTTGTTCAATTTACGATAGACATGATTGCATTCGGAGGAGGAGGCTGTCGGAGACGGGTGCTGTATATGACACAAGATAACACATCCCCTTGACCAATTTTCGAAGCTCGATTTTCCAACTGCAGGAAAAGTCACAGCGCCGGAAACGGCGGCGTTAAAACCGTCTGGTCGAGAGCTTTTCGAAAATGTATCGTTTCGTTTATGCATCCTCTTCGTCGTGGAGTATCAAGCTTTGAAAATCGGTCCATGGGGGTGTGTTATCTTGTGTATTATGCGGTATCCTTCGGAGGCGGTGTCCATCAACGTGTGTTTTTGGTTGTGGTAGATTGTGCGGTATGTGTTGTGGGAGCAGTTGCTGCTTCTCCAACTGCAACGGCAACAGCAGCAACAGCAACGACGACCCCCTGGATATCCTGCCGTAGGCCACCGGTAAGTACCACGAAGACGCCGTTATACCCGTCCGTACGTACGAACGAAACAATAAAATAGGGTGGCACAGAAAGAAGACAAAACCGCCGGAGCCAAATAAACCACCACTCACCTCACGTTGGTGTAGTCTGTAAGTCTAGTCTACGGTTTGGGTACATACGGTAGCTTCCATGCCCGTCTGCTGGTCACTGCCACACTCAAGCGGCGACTCTGCTTCTGATGAGTGCTTGGATGCGTCACATCCCATTGTTGGCAGTGCTCACAGATGAGGAACATGGTACACTACGACGAAAACGGCTTGTTAGATGAAATCCCCCAACACGACTTTCAATCTTCCACGTCATGGTCGGTCGAATACACACTGCCACGAGGTTATGGCTAATTATTATTATCCTGATACCCGAGCCAGTCAGTGAAATAAGTCAGGCCACCCAGACGCTACCTAGCTACAGTAGCACACCGCACATCAAAATCCGATCCCAAACCTTATGTATCTACCGGATAGATCGTAGTTGTCCGACTCCTGGTACATGCTCCAACGATTCCCATACTGCACTTCATACACACCTCCGACGACACAGCACGTGACGCCTTCGTGTGCGTTTTTGTTATTGGCGTCGACCGCGGAAACCGGCTGACCAATAGAAGACGTCAGTCTCAGTGCGCGCGTTTTCATCCCAACCACCCTGGCCGTCAGTCTGCGCCTGTCGACACATGTTCACCACGTTCGACACTCGAAGCAAACATCGCATGCAACACCCGAACAAACGCACATGTTGTAAAGTAGAAAGACGAGGAAAGCAGCTAGAACAGTTCCATCCAGAGAAAACGGCGACAAACATCGCGACATTTCCTAAGAAACATAACTGCCTTCAGTCTAAACCCTAATCTCCAGTATGCTACGGGCAGTTTGAACTCCGCAATTGGCGGCAGCAGCCTAGGCTAGGCTTTCGTCTTTGTCGTCTTGCAAGAGGGTCGGAACCTCTTTGACTTTCGTTCGATGGTCGGGATTGCCTATCAATACACAGGGATTTGCGAAAACAAGTACTTGGGGGGACCTACAAAGAGAGAGAGAGCGCACCCGGCAGAACAGTCTTTACGTCGCAAACAAGTCGAAACGAAAACCAGAAACACGGAGATAAACACGGAGAGAGGACTTCAGCACTACTAGGTTGACCCGGGTCTTCACCCTCAGCACCCAAAACAAACAACGCAAGTTTCAACATATGGGAAACAGCTACCGAAACATACTAGATAGTACAGACGAGAAGGAATGAGTGTGTACTGCTGGTGAGCCCAAGCTGACATTTCGCTTGAATCAATCAGTCTAAATTCCTGAGACTAGCAAGACAACGTCTGTACCCCCCCCCCGCCTACAACAGAACTAAAGGGAAACATACCCACGTGAAACTGCCGACGTCACCACCCCATGCCCCGTCGGCCGCTGCTGCGGAATCTCTCCCGGTAAGTGCCTCCCTGCTCTTGTACACCCCCAATACCCGCCCCTTTTTCTCAAGTACGGTCGGTGGTGCAAAACAGATTTTCGAACCGTCTTGCGTGGCTCGTTTTGCAGCCAGTCGACGCCTACGATCAGGGTTAGGGTTACATTACATCGTCAAGGGGGCAACAGGTGGTACAAACACCGTGGGCGTGGTACCGCGGCCAAAAAATGGAAAAAGCCGGTTGTTCCCCCCTGACAACATGTACTGTGGAATCCGTATTGGAAGGTGTCCTGCTTACAACAATGCATGCACAAAACCTGGCACAATCCCCCCCTCATCCATGTACCCCTCAAGGATAAGGCCGTGCGTCCAACACATGACGAAAAAAAACACACACACAATCAGGGTCGAAACCATGTCACTCGTCGCTGAACGTTTCAAGAAACATTCCCCCCAGTACCTTCGCAAATATAACGCCTTGGCAACCAGGGCAAGGCTCCATGCCCCAAATGCACTGCACGAACAAGCCGAGAAGCGGCGAAATATCATCTGCCTCCCGTCTCTTCCTTTCTGCAACACGTTCGAAAACACACTCAAATTGGGACAGCTCTACAGAACACGCGACACAGCACTCAATTACATAAGGCACCTTCTTCACGCGGAACGCTCTCGTACCCACAGCTCTGCACAATCGTAGACACATATCGACAAGAAAAACAAATAATTGAACAATCACAGGCCGACAAGAGATGGACAAACCGACGTAAGACAAACAGACACGGCAGGCAAGCTACATTGTGCCCCAGGCAAATAAGATGCCACAACTATTTTCCACAGCAGCCATAGCTACCAGACACAAGACTTACAAAAGGAGGAGACAGGGGAAACAAACTCAATTTCCATCTATGGCCAGACAATAACGACGTTTCCCTCGAGAAACCAGCGATGAAACCGCCGGGAAAAATCAACCAACGACGATATGCGATGATATTATTTCGAAACTGATAGAAGTACTACTGCAAGTTCCGCGGGGAAGCATGCCCCCGGTTTGTGGCGAAGGCACCGCCCGGAGTCGATTAGCCGGCTGAAGAACGTCACGCGTCGAAGCCCTGTAGAACAGTCTTCATTGCCGCACAGAATAATAGTGCCGGGGGCAAATGGAACGGAACCCGAGCCCGAAAAGTCCTGCCGGTCGACGAAACGGCGGTGTCTTCTGTAGCACCACCTTCCACCAGGGAGCACGGTAATGCTTAGACCCCCCCCCCCCTTCCCGTTACATATCATTCACGAAGTACCCGCCCCACCCCTATACCCTCCGTTACCATCACCCTCACGAGAAGGCATGGGCCAACCTCTATGACCAACAATTCAACATATTGTCATGCCTCGCCTCTCTGTGTTCAAGGCCTAAGGTATGCAACCCATCTCTCTGACAACATGTAGATAGTGTAGAAACGTTGCACACCACAACCAAAGAAACGACTCCAGGTCGTACAATGCAAGAGGCCGGAAAGGGATCACGCAAGTACCTCTAAATAGCATGCGTTGATTGGTCTTGGCAAGACACTCCGCCACCAACAACGTGCATTAACTTTATCACCCCAAGTGCTACAACAACAGCGCGAGACTAGCGCAAAGGTATGGCACACATCACTGCGGAAGAGTTTCTTGTGCAATATACGTCACTGAAAGATGAAATCTACACGAAAAATACCACGAGCATCGACGCTGAAATCGGTCGCTGCTGAACACGTAATGCAAGAAGGTTGCCGCATGAGCACAAAGCTTGAATGAAGCAGGCTTGTTCATCACATCCCCCCCAAAAAAAAGCGAGTGTATTTGAATAACTGAGATCGACAAGACGACGGGTCGTTTCAACTCCGGTGAGCAGGAACATGCGGACTGAGGATCAGCCAAGAATATGGCACGACCCCTTGGGCACTGCGAGCAAGACCCCGACGCTCGATGGCCATGCAGACAGGCAACCTGCTCCATTCCCCCGCCCGACCAAAACCACCAGCGCGGTGCACAGCCGCTGCCACTTAAAATCTCGCTCGAAACCAACCAACGCGCGAACGACCAACCTCAAAACTGATAGTCGCCGCCGGTGACAACGCCGCAGCTCACGGCACCGCCGCCGCCGGCGAGTGGAGGCACAGCCCCGTGGTGGTCGGCGGCCGTCAACATCCCAGCTGCCGGGACCCCCGAGACGGCTTCGAGCAGGTCTCCGTTCGGCGTCGCGCCTGCCGGCAGCAGCCAGTCCGCGATCCCGTAAGGGAGGGTCTTGACGAGGGTCACGCTCTGCAGGGGCTCCGTCACCGGACCGAGACCGCCTGCGCTACCTTTGAAGCCCCGCTGCTGGACCGGACCGGCGGCGGCGGTCGCGAGGGCAGCGTCTTCCCCAAAGGGTTCCGAGGCGACGTCGTTGATCTCGAAGACCGGCGACTGCGCCCGCGACACGCCGTCGCCACTACCACCGCCGCCGCCGCGTTCGCTCCAAGAGGAGCAAGAGGTAAGCAGCCCCCCCCCGGGGCCGCAGGCGTCGCCGCCGTCCTCCAGGATGAACGAGCTGCGATGGTTCAGGAGCCGGCGCCAGCTGCCGTTGCCGTTCGAGTTTATCGACTTGATGCGCGTCAAGGGGCGGGGCTGCTGCTGCTGCTGCTGCTGCTCTTGCTGCACGGTGGAGCCAGTGGCAGCAACGCGCGCCCGCCCGGTGGCCGTGACCAACGCCGATGCCGATGCCGCCGCCGCCGCCTCCGCAGCCGCAGCCGCAGCCTCCGTTGTCGTCGTCGCCGCCGCCGCCGCGGAAGCAGCAGCTGCGCTAACGACCCTCTGCCCTGCGGTAATGGCCGGGTTCAACGAGCCCGGTCTTGGCGGACGGGACGCGGACGCTGCATCGCGGGAGGCCCCGGCGACGGCCTGAGAGGAGGGGAGGGGAGCTGCTTGGTTCCAAAGGCGCCGGAGCCCGTGATCCGGGCCGGCCTGATCGGGACCGGAGATCTGGTTAACCTTGACCTTCTTTTTCGGCGGGTGGGTAAGCTGCTTGTGCGGCTTCTGTTCCTGCTGCGGGTCTTGCTGAGCTTCGACGGGGGCTTCCTCGGCCTCGAGCTGTCCAGGGAGACGGGCGGTGTTGGGATCGTAACATTTAGGCGTATCGAAGGGGGTAGGAGGTACAGGCAGATGTGCAACGTCGATTCGCCCGCCTTAAGAAACGGGCACCGGCCCTTTTGAACGTACTTGGCACAAAAAAAATGGTATTCTTATCGTCGGTGCCAAGAGATTGCACGAAGAGAGGTACGGCAGCTGGTCTGGCACAGACAGAGCGAATCGAACACGACATGGACTGCACAACCAAACCTCCGCACGAGTACACGCGAAAACACAGCAAAGCGTGTTCACGTTCTTCATCCCGCTACATACAAGACTAAAATATTTCTATTCTACAGCCGGTTGGCGCGCGATGGTATTGCAACTACTAAAGACAACACACAAACACAACCATCATCTCCCGATGACTGGCACAGTCAAAGAGGACGAAGCTCCTCGAAGACTCACAAAAAACAACCAAAAAGCACACCTGCCCTAGGAGCTCGTCAATCAACTCGTTCTCCTTTGTAGACGCCTCAAACGCCGCCGGTTTGTGCGGGAACTCCAGGAAAGATGCGCTGCTGCCACCGACCTTTCCGTCGATGGGCGTGGGCGGGAGCACGGTGGTGCTGTCGCCGTTCGCCGCGCGTCTGCCCCCGTCATAACAGCCAACGTCCAAGAAACTGGCCGCCGGTGGTCCGCCCCCCGCCTGCTGGAGGGAAGAGGGGGGCAGATGGCGAGGGGGGGAGGGGGGGGGCGGGGCAGGAGGTTCCGTTGGAAAGAGGGGTAGCGGAAAAACACGGTTGGATTTGAATGCCCATTCATGGGACTTGACCGTTGACAAGGAACGCTCTGGTCGTTACGGACTGGTCGCCGTCCGTTCGGTTCGGTCCTGGCGGACTATAGATGCATCCAACCCTAGCGGTGGTCCTCACGTATTGATTGGCTACTTGTAGGCTGCTTGCTGCCTTGCTCGGTGAGGGTTTGTCGCTTGTCGCGGTGGCGCATGAGCTGAGGTGCACGAAACGCCGGGATGCGCGAAAACGACGACAATGTCCAGATAAATCAGATACGCCTCCTGATGCCTGAGAGTCAAGGGATGGCGGCATGGTTGGCGAAACCATTTAATACAAGAGGACGTGAACGCTGGCCAACTGGATGGCTGGTCCGGTGCAGAAAACGAAAGGCATTTCGGCATGAAGCTCCGTTTTGGTCAGCTTTTCGGAGGTGCTTGCATTCGGAAATATTTCCCTTCGGAGATGCTTTCTTTCGGAGACCTTGTGCTTTTCTGGTGAATTGGTGAGCCCCTTGCTTTATCTGTCTATCTTGCCTGGCTTCCTCTCTACTTGCCTTCCTCTCTACAGGTGTCCCTTAACAATCTTCAGCCTTTGCTCTTATGGTGGAGGGCAAACCCAGTCGCGAAAAACCCATGGACATCGACCAGGATATTGTTCCGCCCCGTTTCACTCGAAATGCATTCAAGTGCCTCAACGGGCATGAACGTCACCACTCACGGCCCGTACAGGACAAAGCGACAACACTACATCATACTCCAGAGCGTCGCGTACGGATTTGGTCCATGGGAACTGGACACTGCTAGCAATGCCGGAAAGTTGACCACACAAAAAACTGTTTATCTCCACCTCGTCCATAACGTGGTCACGATTCCCGATGCCGTCTCCGACGGACCCGGGTGCAAAAGGGCTCTTCTCAGCCGCCGAAAACGCCCTCGACGTCGAACCCCGACCGCCCCTCTTGCCTTTGGCCGATTGCGACCAAACCATCGCCGCCGCCAGCCCGGGCTTCGACCCGGAGAGGGAAAGCGCGGCTGCGGCGCTGCTGATGGCGTCGACCCCCAAGGACTCCTCCCGAAACGGCGGTGTCTCGCCGATGTGGCGGTTACACTTGGGACCCGGCTTCTGCTTGAGGCTGAAGATGCACACGTGGTCCTTGCGAGCGCAGTAGTGGCACGCCCCTCCTTCGATTCTGCCGCTGCAGCGCACCTGTTCGCGTTTGGGGGATTTGCGGGAACGGGGTGGGGGGACCCTAACTAGTTTGATTGCTTAGACGTAGTTGCCTACCTTTTGAGACAGAGCGCCGTTCCTACTGTACTGCTTGCACAGACAACACCAACGCCAGGGCAATCTTTTCACGGGCTGCATACGTTGAGTCTTGCTGCGTACGACACCCTTCCCTCCTTCAAGGGGGTGGGTCGCTGGACTGATCAAGAAAACGCCGCAGCCGTATCAGCGCCCCCTCCCCGCCAAGAACAAAAGCGAGTTGTGCGATAACAAAGGGATGCCCTCCTGCCATGGGCACCCCGCCATACAGCATCAGATGACACTGTTAATGTGTCTAGGTCGCACTGGAAGGCGGACAGCGGAACATGTCCTGAGCTGGTGAAAGACGGGGGTGTACTCAAAGTCGTGCATGCCGTAGTCGTTAGACCATTGACCTCGCATCCCTACAGAGCTGGGACGGAGCACGCCGGGTTCTCACCGGACCAGGCTCTCACATCACCAAGCGCGAAGCGCCGTGAGATATTCGGCGAGTCGCATGAAGGGTGGGCTGCATCCTGCTGAGGGTTTTCGGCATCTCGTGCTTACTTCCTTGCGTACGGATGACAGCTGCGTATGAATTAATTTATTTTCTGGTGCTTTCACTTCCAGAGACAGTTGTAAGCACTGTGTAACTGCCTCGAGGGTGCTTGACCATTTTAACACAACGTGGTGCGATCATCCCCCTTGCGCGGAGTGAGGGTTCTCCACCCCGCACAACATGATCTACTCGACCACCATTATGGTTACCGCCAAAAAAAAAAAAAACGAGGTAAAAAAAAAAACGGTAACCTGGTTGCCGAGTTCACGAAGTGAATTGGCTTGTGTTACAACGTCGTTGGCAAGCGACGAAAACACAATCCCGATGGCGATGGCAAAGACCGAGGGGGGGGTGGTGAAAGAAGGGCGTGACTAAATTACTTTCTGTGTTGTGATGGTCGGTCGGTGGGTGCATACATACAGCATCCCACTATATGGCTAGCTCCAGCTGGCATCCTCGCTGCGTTCTCCCAGAAGGGGGCGTCCGCATCAGACGAGGCGGGTAAGAGACCAACGAAGCGGGTACGTGTACAAACACCGCAGTTTCTCTCGTGCAATTTTCTCACCTTTTTCTCGACGCAGTAGTCGCAGTTGCGGCGAGTGTTCGATCTCGGCTCCATCTTAGCCCCGAAGGCCCCTTTTCCGGGTCACGAAAGCGCTATAATAGTGACAGCTGGAGAGAGATCCTATCACGCGCGAAAGGCTCCCTGAACGTAGCCGGCGAAAACGACCGTGACCGTACCCACTGCTCGAGGTGCGTGACGATACCCTGCTGCTCTAGTCGCTCTAGTCAGGAAGGACCCGGGGGGGCTAGCTGAGTCCCTGGTCGTTGTCCCCGTGGTTGTACAACGTTCGGTAGAAGGGAAGGAGCGATGGGGATAGCGCGCTTGTCAAGGGGTGTGATGTGGTAAGTGCGCGTGTGCTCAGAGATTCCTGCTGTTATTGCTGCCAACCTCAAGCATTTTCTACAGGCCACTCACTCATTACCTCTTCCGTAGGCAGGCTCTCAACACTCCATACGGGCGACGAGTACGGGTGGGAGACTGCTTTTGTGTGCAAAAAGACTGCTGCTGTACAAGTACTGGAACAATTTGTTCTGTTTGGTTCGTTCAGGTTCGCTGGGCTTCCTAGTCGGAAAAAAAAAAGAAAACACGAAGACAGGACAATATATCGGTGTGAGCTGATCGAGCTTGAAACTCCACCGCTTTGTTGTCATCGTGCATAACCCGTGATGACAGCAGTATTGTTCGTTCATGATCCCAGTCGGAGGGATCACTTGGACGCTATGTACATTACAGTTCTTCGAAGTAGAATCTTTCATGTGCTTATTTTTGCTCGTTGTGCCCTTTCGAACTACTCAGGGTCTCTTGACCTGCACCGCTACACACGTTGGACTATGTTGCATCCGAGCGAAATACAAGAGCGAGCGACGGGACGGACTTTGGCGCATGTATAACAAAGAAAGCGTAGGGAGGGCTCGTCTTTGTTTTCGCATGCAACTGCTGTAACTCCGAGTACGTACGCTGTAGTACAGAACACACGAGTGGTATACGTCGTGCCAGGAGCATGGTGGTCTGTACAGGACAAGTCCCCTGACCAAAAAAAAAAAGAACTAGAGCAAAACAACACCAAGAGAGAAATTTCCAGGTGGTGTCTGGGTCCGCCTGTTCTCTGAGAGGGGAGGAACAGTGAAACTGCAGTACTCCACACCACATCCTACCCTCGTACGCGCAGGCACTATCTAGCCGTGTGCGCTCCTCCAAAACCATGTGTACATGCACCAATCGCTCCTCACGTGAGGTCACACTGCTGCTGCTGTGCTGCTGGCGCAGCCCCGTCTGCAAAAATACGCATTTTCTCGCTCTTCGACTCGAACGGCGGCGCTAGCTGTGTAGATCGTGCATGCCGATGCAGCCCAAGGTGAGCCCGGCGTATTGGGGTATACCTACTCCCAAAGCATGGTTCGCTCCGGTGTGCTTGTACTAGTTGTCAAGGCACTCTGCACGGCCGGGGTGCTTGTGCTGGCTATTGTAACTTGCGTGCTTGGTGCGTTTTGGCGTGAGCTGCGGGTGTGTGTGCTGGCTTTGCCTTGCCATCTGGTGTGGGACCACACCATTATAGTGTTTGAATCGCACAACATCACACACCGCCCCCTGTCGCTGGCATTTGTGGCATGCCTCCTACCACCCTTTTCCTGTTGTCCCTTGTGCGAGAAGCGAAAGCACATGCCCATACACACAGCCTCTTGGCCGCACGACAACAGCAGAAGCACCGCCATCATCATCCATCCTCGCCTTCGTTTCCTGCTCTCTTGACAACCCCCTTTCCGCCAGGCCATGCGACTGACTCACTCACCGAACGCACCCGCCGGGGAAGGGTGATCAATATTGTCTTCGCGTCTTGACGTAGACAAACACGGCAGAGAAGACAGGGTTCCGGCAGGCCTGCTCGCCGAACGTCAGCTGCTGAGAATGATGGGTGCGTCTGATGTGAGAGGTAAGAGGACGGCTGTGATGCGGGGAGAGTCGGGTTTTGATTGGCCAAGGGATGAGTCCGTGTATCAAAATCAGGTGTGTCGTGGGAGAGGAATATTGTCTGTAGGGCCTCTCCGCTCCGGGCCGCGGGTCGATTCAGATCGTGCGTTGCTGTTGCTATCTTCCCACCTGCTTGGACGCCGTACGACCTGTCAACACAAAGATGAACCAATTTTTCGCTTTTCTCGTGCTTTGCCTGGCGGCAAGGGTGAATGGCTTCGTGCCAGCTCCAGCAGCCTTCTCGAAGGGCCAGTTCGCGTCGCGAGCAGCAGCATCATCTCAGGTGAACTACACAGCACGTGTGCGTTTTTCGAGAACACAGAGAGTTGATCATGAACCTGCAGAGAGCCCACCCATCGCTCGTGCCCAGCCTCCGTTTCCGGTAGTCGAAGTGACTAGACGGCCCTTTATGGTGACCCTCTGGTTTTCCCACCAACCGGGTTAGATCCATACACATCAGCAGTGTCGATCTGGTGTGTCTGTTCAGGACGCTCGTGCTGACGCGATCGGCCGTCTGGCGTCGACTGACGAACGAACAAAGTTGCCCTCCTCGCCAACCCCCCCTCTCCCGCCCGTCTGCCCTTGCCATGCTAGGCACGGCGCAGGCGGGAGCGTGCCGCATGTTGCCAATGTCAGAAACAGGGTTGGATGCGAACGCCATCTCGTCGTTGTTTTTTTCAGGAAGCAGCTACATGTATGACTGCTGTAGTCATCAAGTCGTTTCTCTCCCAGAGACGAAGTGACACACACACGAAGAATGATAGAGAGAGCACTCCTAAACGAAGTCGAGTGCAGGGTGACAGTCTGAAGTCGAGTGCAGGGTGACAGTCTTAGTAGACACGTGCAGTTTTCTTCTGTTATTACTACGGTATCTGTCTTTAATCCTGAGAATAGCGTAGCTCCCCCTACGACGCTCGGTCCCGGGGTCCCAGATAGTGGACTATGGAAAAACATTTTGTGTTTCCCGCCGCACTGAGACTGACGTCTTTTCATTGGTCAGCCGGTTAGCGCGGTCGATGCTAATAATAAAAGCACACACACAACTGTTCCTCCAGCGCATATTTGTTGGCCCCGTCGAGCAGTTGCAACAAACGGCGGTCCATTTCTAGTGAATGCATATATTTTGCAAGGACTAGCATTATTGTTGAAGTGGGGTAGTACCCATTAGTGGGAGAGGGGAGGGGGGAGACGAGACGCTCATCGTACTGGAAATGTCCTGCGCAAGTGGATCAATACAGCAGTACTCTTGCCCATCGCTTTAGTTGGGAATCCTCCCATACTGCTGTACATGTAGCAACGAAAGCTCGATCTCTTCCACACCAATTGAGGGCTGGTGCATTTTCCAATAGGCAGTGCTTCGAACGAGGTGGGTGTTAGATTGTCGAAGTTTCGTATGCCGAGACGGGATCGAGCCGAAAAATTATCCCTCGGATGCTACTATTTTGAAGTGTTTGGAGCACTTCTGCAAGCACTTGAGCTATCTCGGCGGTAGATAACACAGCAGAGAGCAGAACACTGGGTGTTCGTGTTGGGTGGAGACGAGGCAACAACGGCCAGGTAAGACACTGGTACTCGTTTGTGCAATTAGTAGTCATCATTTCCACGGCTCGTACACTATGTCCCTGTTGTTCATGATTATCCACCTACGTCCATCCGTTGGGACACGACTACAGCAGCAGCAGCACAGGACAACCTGTCCGCGCTTCGCCATATTTTCCGCGTCTACCTCCCGCGTCCGCGCACCCTTGTAGCCGATGGCGGTCAACGCACACCCCGACGCTTCTCTTGTGGAGGCATTCAGAGGTGGGGACATACGGGTTATTCTTCGCCAGATCAAGGAGGTGTAAAACAATTTTCCGGACGCGTATGCATACGAGAGTTCGTGTTCGATGCGGCCGCGGTGGGAGCGGGCTCATGCCTGCACGACACTCCGCCAACGGCTCTACCAAGATACCAAGAGGCTTGACGAGCGATCAGCGCTCCGAAGCTGCGAACGAGCACCCTGGGCTCTGTGGAGTCTATCTGGCGGAGGTGATTTCTGGGGTTGGCTACGAGGATGTGGTGGCTACTACTGAGAGGCGTGGCTTCTAATGGACCTGCTGTAGTCGTCCTACAGCACGTACCTGGTTGCGAAAAATGTTGAAGGCGACGCCAACACCACGCCTCTCAGTAGTAGCCACCACATCCTCGTAGCCAACCCCAGAAATCACCTCCGCCAGATAGACTCCACAGAGCCCAGGGTGCTCGTTCGCAGCTTCGGAGTGCTGATCGCTCGTCAAGCCTATTGGCAGAGCCGTTGGCGGGATGTCGTGCAGGCATGAGCCCGCTCCCACCGCCACGGCCGCATCGAACACGAAATATCATACGCGGTCAGGAAAATCGTCGTACACCTCGTTGGTCTGGCGAAGAATAGCCCGTGTGTCCCCACCTCTGAGTGCCTCCACAAGGGGAGTGTCGGGGCACGCGTTGACTGCCATTGGCTAGGGTGGCGCGGACGCGGGAAGTAGACGGAAAATGTGGCGAAGCGCGGACAGGTTGTCCTGTGCAACTGCTGCTGCTCAGGTTCAACAAGGAAGTTGCGCCACGTCAGACTGTGCTTGGGCAAAAAGCACTACCAGGGCCTAACTCGAAGAAGCATTCCACCCGCCGATGAAAGGGGCACCCGGTCATCCTTGAGCTTGAAGCGCCGGGGTCTCGCTTTCTCTCTGGAGCAATATCTTGAAAACCTCCTCTTGTGCTCCGTTTACCGCGCTCTCGCCAGTTGTTCTCTAAAAGCCCTATCAAATGGCCCCTCAAACCCGATCGTAGCGAGGGGCCATTTGATTGGGCTTTATAGTAGAGACTGCTCAGGTGGGGACGCTACGGACGCTGATTTCTCCATGTGTGCAGGTCAGGGACCGTAAATCATCGTCTAATCAGCAGGCGCATTTGTTTGCCTTTTCTTTTACATCTCTTTGTGATATTTTCTCATCCCCGATTTCCTGTGCGTCGTAAAGGGGTTAATTATAACAAAGGGCTGAATGTGTACATCGCCCATGGCGATGTCGCCATTTTCTTGGAGGGTTTGATTGTGTGCACCCTTCTCGCCATCCAAATTAAGGCGCGCACCGCAGGGGGAAAGGTGGGGCACTAGAACAAACAAATAAATGAAAAAATCTCCTTGTGTCACCTAGCCCTTCCTCTCGTGTGACCCCGGCTGAACGCCGGAAGACCGTAAGACTGGCGCCAGAATATATGGGACGAACGTTGGTTGGTCGGTCAGCGCAGTCGGTGCTAGTAGAAACACACACAAACATACAGTGAGCCCTCCCTTACCAACGTTCCTGTCCTGCTGCACATCATCCCATCGTATATCTCGGGCAATACTCCCCCTCTTCCCTCACATGCCTAATGTCGTCTCACTGCGCTTGGCACCCTCACATGTCTATTACATGTCTAATGTCGTAGGCAGGAATGTATGCATAAGCGCCCGTACTTACGTACTTCAGCCACGGGGTTTGGCGCGGCCTCCACTCTTGACCAGAGGAGCTCTCAGATTTTCGCCACACCATTTCCTTGCCAGCAGCCGCTTTGCCCCCTTCCTTCACTCTGTCTGTTTCACCTCTCACTGTGGATTTCTGCACGCATTCCCCCCATGGTTTTGTGGTACAATGTTCGTCGGACCCCCCAGATTTTTCTGCTATGTCCTTGCCAGCAGCCGTCTCTCCCCGGTCTTATTCGGTTGCTGTTCCGGCTCTCAGTGTTGACTTCTCCTCGACGCTTTTCCACCCTTGGTTGTTTCTCGTGTATGGTTCATCGTTCCAAGGTTGCGCGATCGTCGATCTCGCCGCGGACGGGCGTGTCGTCTGCCTCGAACCCCGGCGTTGGCGTTATGATGATGGCCACGAAGGCGGAGGAGGCGACGAGAAACTTCTGGGAAGGGGAGTGGGTATGTGCTGACTGCGGTTACATCTACGATATCGACGACTGCGGCGGACTGTACCTCGAGGAACAGGTGCGTCGTCGTCGATCGCCCACCCCCGCGAAATTTCGACTTGAAGTCATTAGGATACATATTGGAGTGGAGTCGATCGGGGCGGTGTCGGCTTCGGTGGTGACCCTTTCCCGAGGAACATATGTAGACGATCTCTTCCAAGTACCTTTTGTTTTCGTGACACATGCTTGTTGAGATGTATCGCCAAACACATCTCGATTAGACATATATTTGTGTATCGCTTCGAAGAACCATGACACCGCGCGAGCGGGGCCGGCTGAATAATTTCAATGCACCCATAAAATGGGGGGAGGGGGGGAGTGCGGCGGTAGGGTTCCAGTGGAGGCAAAATGTTCTATTTTGTCCAGATGAGCGTGTCGTGGAAGGGATAATCAGGATGCATTTGTTGGACGCCGCACGACTAACCCCTTTAGACTATTCCAGCTGTAGAACGGCCAAGGCCTGACAGTGAGGGTTCCGATAATTGCAGTCCTGTTGCTCAAAGGTACACCCTAAATATGCACAAGTCGCGTGGTGTCTACCATATACGTTTTGGTCTCACCTCCCTTCGGCACACAAAACATGGTCGACGAATATATTCTGGAGTTCGTCTCCTTCCACATCGGCGGGGCGACGTTGCACCGTCAATTGTTCATTTGCGGTTCTCTTGCGGAATTTCTGAGCTGATGGTTCCGGAAAACGGTACAACTTGTCAGCGATTTTGCACATACCATCCTTCGGAACCGTGAGCTCAGCAGGATCCCCACAAGGAACCCAGGATTCACAATTGCCGGTGCATCTTTGCCTCGCTCCATGCGGAAGATATCGAACGTACAAAGATGTTCGGCGACCATTGTTTGTCCGGCCAAGGGCGGTGAGATTAATGCATACGACGCGCATTGTGCACATTGTTACAGGTGGACAGGTAGAGACGGCCAATCTAAACGGGGGAGCACGAGGTTCCCGTGCTTGCGAAAATGTTTCCTTGCACTCTTCCGTCAACAATTTTGCGCCACAGTTCTGTGTGCCTACATTGTACGGATTGGACCTCCTGCTCGGCAGATATGCTTGGAGCTGTGAGCGCTTTTGTGTAGTGACGCAACAGCGAAAAAACACTGGCGGCTAGGGGTCTTGTCTTTTTGGTGGCGATGCACACGACTCCTCTCGCTTCCTCCAATGCTTGTCGGCCGGACCACGTCTTGTAGCGGAAGAAGTCAAGTCGTCGATGCCGAAGATGACCGAAGTTATGAGAAGCGAGATCATGTCTGTTCACTTGAACATAAAAAAGGCGTGGCTACGGAAAACAGGAGGCAATCGTTCGCGCGGTTGTGACAGCTACCCTACGCCCCAGACGCACCGCGTTCATTCTGTCACTTTTTTTTCGATGATTGTCGATGGTGTACGGCATGTTGTGCTCTTCGCCCGGTGTCGAGGGCATCGGGGGTTTCACGATGTCGTGCCCGATAATTCTCTTGTGTCTTTACATTCAACCCTGGCCCGCCGCGCAATGTCGTGGGTTTCCGGTGGCGGCTGACGACTCGATTTTGCACATCGGATCATCTAACATCACGAGGGGTCTCGATTTGTGTTGAGGCACGACTAAAACCGCACTTTTAGTCTTAATCCGGGCCGCCCAGTGGCACCTGCGGCGAGCTACCCCCCGGTTTCACCAGCAGCAAGTACCTTTCGAATCTCGTCTTGACCCCCTACTCTGCTCTAATGGCGTTCCCCCCGTTTCTTACAAAAACAGAAGCGTGGGTTCGTTTGCCCGCAGTGCCGCGGCCCCCGCCGCCGGTTCGCGAAGAAGGTCGGCAACCAGGTGGGTATCACCCAGGACGGAGGCGATGCGCCCATCTTGCTTTTCTCCTTCCTCGGCCTGTTCGGTACCGTGGCGTTCGGCTACTGGTTCGCCGGACAGTAGAGGCGCCTTCGTCACGACGGAGTGCGGATGGGTGGGAACAGTATAGCTTGAATGCTGGGAGGGGGTTTGGGATGTCTACTTCGATATTGTTCGGCGTTGAGGAGGGTCTCCGGTGGTGTGTGGAAATCGCACAACACTGCCTGAGCATCGGTGAGACCGGCGTAAAGGGGGCTCCGCGTGATCCGCTAGAGGGTAGTGAGAGCCTCGTTCCGTGGGCAAGTCTAGATAGAGCAAGGGTGGGATATATATAGGACGTCGAGCGCCTTCTTGAGAGTGAACAGCATCACAGGCTGTCACGGAATGTCGTCGCAGCCAAGACCAACGTTGTATTTTGTCAAGCGTTCTTGTAAAGCCCAGCTGCCGCGCTGGTGTGCGCTAAAGCTGCGCTGAACCAAGAGTGTGTTAGGCCAAGCTGCCGAAACTACGCGGAGCACTTTGGTGTGACAGATTGGGACGGGATGCCCGGGGGGGGGCGTGGTCGATGGCGCTCTCTCGAACGGTTTGTCCGGTGTGTCGTCTGGATTTTAGATTGGGGGGGGAGGTTCCACGCGCGGGAGGGGGACACGAAAACGATAAAACAACCCCGGGCACCGCCGTGAGCCCGTGGCACCCCTTGGTTCCACGGCTGGTGTGTTTTGGCTCCTCATACTGATGTGTGTAGACTGACTGCTGTGTTGGGGTAAGGTAGACGCTAATATCACAAATCACAAAAATAATCGAGACACGTTTGGGGTTTGAGTTGTCGTCACTAGCGGCCGTTTGTCATTGTTTATATGGGCGAGGCTGTTTGATGCCACTCCATCCCCGCAACTTCGCTAGTGTTCACCGGGTGTCTGCCCCACACTTCTTGCAGCGAAGACGGATCTGTTGTCGGAGAAGCTTGACAACACCTTCGAGCCGCCCTACGATATGGCTACGATAGGGGGTAACACGTACACCCCGACAACATCGGCTATGCGACCGTTCGTAAGCCCGTGTTTTATCGTGCGAAAAAAAATCAACCGACGAAAGGCTTCACTCAGACAATGGCATGGCCTTGCGTGTCACGAGAACGGATGCGCTAAACATCATCAGAGATTCGAAAACATGCAGGAGGCGTAGGTGAACCCCGTAGCGGCAACATTGGATGGCTCGTTCTTTGCACCCATGTTTGGCTGTATCTTGTGGAGAGCACAACACGTTGTTGTCTCGGTGGCCATCATGGTCAGCACGCCTTGGACGAGGGCAGGAGCACCGTGAGACTCTCAAGATGCTTAAAGTTGAAAAACTGTGGACGAAGAGACAAAATTGACACAAGACACTTAAAATAGAGCGCAGTTGAGGAACACGTGTTGACCCCAGGGGGGGCCTAGGGCAGTAAAAGATTACCTCACGTCACGAAACGCCCTCAATCACAAATGTATTCGTGCACCGTACCGTGCAGTCGCGTACCGTAGATAGCACAAACACACGAAGAGCGCATAGTTGGTCAGCTTTGACAACTTGCGCCTCGTTCAACCACCTCGGTAAACCTGGGAACACCATGGGATTGACCCTTCGCCCAGATAACACCGGTGAATGCAACGGGCGACTAGGCGGGCTCAACGGTGCTCGCGCCCGCAAACATGGCCCCAGCCACCCGAACCAGGTAGTGGCCCCATGACCGGCGGCCATGGAAGGCGGATGCTCCGTTCTGATTAGCGAGCATTTTGCGTCGACACCGTCTACAGCCTTCCTGTCGGCCACTGCTGGGAGGGCCCCATCGGTCAGGTGAGTATCTACAATATGCATGTGTCGACAACGTCTACCGCTTTTCGATCGCTCCCGCCTCTGCCTCTACCGGGGCAGGGCACGGCATAGTCTCCACGTGCTCGGTTTGCGCCCGCAACGTTGCCGCCGCCGCCGCCGCCGCCGCCGCCATCTCCGGGCTCTCCGTCATGCCCTCCGTCGACGCTCCCGTCCCTCCGGCGACTTGAAGCCGCAGCTCAGTCTCTTTGAAGGCGTCCACGTACGCATGTCGACGAAAACCCAATCTTTTTTGTCCACGAGGTATTGTAGGGGGGGGTGGTGGTACATCACCATGGTTGGCAAGCGTGGGGGTGACGTGCCGTGGTAGTTGCGGAATAGAGTCGGGACGTTGCCACCCGCGCACCGCTGCTACATAGTAGCGAGGCCATTAGTCTCTCTCTCTCTATATATATATACCCGAGAAGGTTTGGACGACGGGGCGAACGCATGCGGGTCTCACACACTCCCCTGTTGGTCTGTTGGTGCGCTTGGCCTCTCTAGCACACCGTTTCCTCCTTTTTCAAAAGTTCAGCACCTCTGGTGAGCAGAACGAGGATGACGGCACCTGTGCCCCATGGGAATTACTGCACTTTTGTAGTTCTGCATGACCTTCTAATTCCTTCTCTGTCTCTCACTTCTCAAACAGTGCGCGGGACGCCACGTTTGCGTCACCAATCTTGCAGTAGAACGTCGTCGCACCAAGGTTGTCCAAGGCTCATGTGCGCGCAAAAGCAACCAACGGCAACCAAACGAAACACACGCAAGGGCGAGACCGTTTGGGGAGTCATGGGGAAGAGAGGTTGTGGAGGCCGAAAAAGATTTCAACAAGAGGACAGCAGCAGCAACACAGGCCAAAAACAACAAAGACAACCTAAACGGCAGCACCAGGAACATCGGCCAACAACAGCAAGAACAGCATCCATCCCCAGCAGCAGCAGCGACAGCAGCAGTACGCAGCCGGAGCAGCAGAAGAAGCCGGAGCCGGAGCCATCGCAGCAGTGGGAGCCGCCGCAGCAGCAGCAACAACAACACAAGCCCAGAACTACAACACCTCTACGTTATCGGTTCGGCGACACGCGGGACATTAGCGTACCGACCGCAAAATCGCATAGACCAGCCCAAAACGATTGTGAAAATATCCGATAGGTCATCCGTTTAGCAGCATGTTGACAGAAGCAGCAGCGCTTACCATAGCGCATGAGCATCAGTACTGCCTCCTTGGCGAGCCCTCTTCTTCGAAGACCCTCCTCGGCGATCATCACTTCCACCTGGTTGCGGGAGAATCGAGAAGATTGGCCCCGCATTCGCCAAAACGTCCGAACGAAGAGGGAGAAAGAGTTGGATTGGGTTCTTCCGCCATCATGTTTGGCAATCGACGAAAACACAGTACCATGAAAGTTGGTCCTGAGTAAAAACCTTAGGCAATGCCAGCAGCAGTTATCGCGACCAAATAGCAGGGGTCCGCGGCAAGGCCCAACCCTAGACTCTTTGTGCCAAGCGCATCCCCAAGTTTTCCATTCGGGGAGAGATCAAGGACAAAAAACCGTCCTTCTTGCTCTCATTGGGACAAAGCAGCCGATGCACCGCACGATAACATCCAACCGACGAAAACATGTCCATGGATCTCATCACAGTAGCACCATAACCGCAGGAACCGTATCCTGCAATGTCCTTCAATGCTGATCGGGCGCGGCGCCTACCTCGCTATTGAGCGATCTGACATCACTGGGAACCAAGCCGATTCGTCCACACACACCTCGCACATGCCAGGGTCTTCGTAGTCGTTAAAGAACAGATTTACATCCCCGGCCATCACCGCGGATTCTCCGGTATCCTTTTCCTCGCCCTCTCCCCCCCAACCGCCACTGAGGGCCAGGACAATGAAGGTGCACTTCTTGGGGTCTTCTTTCCACGAGAGCTGCATGGCGTACTCTTCCGATAGAGAGAGGGGTTCCGATGCCGTCATCTCTGCACGTGATGTTTGAAGGATCATTATACGTTGAGAACCAGAACCTTGTGGAATGAGCAAAACTTGCCCGGGATATCAACGTGGGCGCCACACTTTTATACGAAAATAGGCATCATACTTTGGCTGCAGCTGTAGCAATTTCGTCGCAATCAACATACAAACGGCCATGTAGTGCCTCCAATGCCAGCCTGACCTTCTTCATGGCATCTATTCACGCACAAAGTGGTATAGCAATGGCTGATACGGCCATTTCCAGTGCATTGATACCTCTTATCCAAGGGTCTTGCATCCAGCCATGGTAGGTAGGAACATGCTCCCGTCGGTAGGGCACGAGCTGCACTCCCTTTCCCTTCTGCTTGTCCACGGGAGCAACGACAATCACGGTGGGTTTTGGTCAGTTTTTTCGCGTGTGCTCCACGACATATGTAGCAGTATCGGCGAACTACCGCATGCATGCGGCTGGAGGTAAACGTTGCAGCAACGCAGAACAGGACACTCTGGGAAAGGGGTTCGTTAAGCCCCGCGGGGAGCGTTTCTCTATGCTGACGCTTGTCCTATCCGGTATTCGTGAACATTTCTTGGGAAAAGAGCAGCATTGCCATGAGCTCGGAGGGTATCTCCCTGTACATAGTCCATCTACCATTATTTACTCGCCTCTCTATCTTTCCGTCGCTCTCTGCCTCTCTTGTTCCCCCCCCCCCCCCCCCC